TAAATATAAAATAAAATTTTTAATCTTTAAAGGTGTAACTTAAAATTCGAAATATCAATATAATTTATAATTAACTCAAATATAATAAAACACTCTACACATTTTTCCCCCAAATCCTCCCGACCCTCTCCTCACTGCCTTCACTCTTCTGTGAGACTCAGAAACCATGCCGCCCCTATACAGCTCTACTTCTTCCCTTCTTTACTATTAACCCTTTTCCAGTCCCTATTTTCACTCCTTACTCTCTCTCTCTCTCTCTGCTATCCCAGCGCCAGTCACACCGCCATTGCCTCCGCCACACCCCTGCCAGTTATGTCTTTATCTACTCTGCTTCTCTCTCTCACTCACCCGCACAACACACGCACACACAGAAAACACCTTCCCCCTCTGCGCAACCCACTGCCCAAAAAAAAAAATACCCCCTCCCAACACACCCCACACACAGAACACAATCGCCCCTTCCTCTCTGCCCATCACACACACACAGACAGAGAACACAATCACACAGAACACACACAATGCAACCCACCCCCCAGAACACACGGCACACACCCTTTCCTTCACCCACGCAATCTCTTGGATTTTCTTCAATTTGAATTTTTTGAAGTTGGTTTGATTAGGAATCCGAACACAGCATAGCAAATAATATATGTCTTGCAGGACCTTCTTCTTCATGACATCGGTCAAGATTGGGACATCATTGAGTCACCACAGTCGTCATCGATTCCAGCAGCCGCCGCCAACGACACAATGACGCCAGCCAAGTATCTCTTCCTCCCTTTCTCTCTCTCCACCGTAAACCCAGACAATCCAACCTCGCAACAGTCACTCAATTAACAAACACACACCGCCCACCATATGTTTGAACACACACCCAGCAGGCACACACATAGCACCCACCCACGCAACAGGCACAGAATGCACACACACACACAGAGCATAAACACAGCACACAAGCAGCAGGCACGCACAAACACCCACGCACACCAAGTACTCACACAACATTTAATTGGCAGATCTGAATCTTTCTCGGTGTTTTTTTTCTGTTATTTGTTAAGTTTTTAAATTGATTTTTGTTTTGAAACCCATTAAATTTACTTTTCTCTGTGAAACTACGAGATTGAGGGCTTCTTTTGCAAAAATTTGTGGAAATAGGTCCCATCAAAAGTTCGAAAAATTCATCAATGGTAGTGACATTCAGGAGTGAAATCACATTATCTAATTTTTAACTCTCTTTATCAATGTTATTTTCGATTCTTCAAATTGTAAAGTTATAGGTGCGTGTACATTTGCTATGTGAAAAGGAGGTGAATTGTTATTTGATAATGTTGCTCCTTAGATTAGCTTATTTTAAATGAAATTTTAAGTTTGAATAGTGTGTTATTTGTTTTATTTTTTTAAAATATATGTTTGAATAGGCACGTGACAAAGAAGGTTTTGTGCAATCCCAAATCGACACACACAAGCAACGCACACATATCACTCATGATTCGGGCAATAATGAGGTGAATTCGGTTTGATTAGATTCAATTTGATGCAAGTTTTGTAATTACTTTAGGTTCGAATGATTTATGATTGCTTCAATTATTTCGTTTAGTCGTATGGATTTTGCCTTTGTTCTTACAATTATTTAGTTTAGTCGTATATGTTGTTGATCAAATGCCCCAAATATTTCTAACGTACACTCTCTGTTTTTCACAAGCACCCACCATTTGAACCACAACCGTACATGTTCAAAAGATTAAAAAAAACACACACACTTCGTCACCCACACACCCTCTATCGCATTCCCAGATTTTATTTTTTGGTGAGCATAGTAGATATAATTTATTCCGTTCATTGTCTTGAGTGATGTGTTTGGTTGGGACTTGGTTTCAGCATTTCTTTATGGGTTTTGTTAAATGTGTTGTTTTGGATTGATTAGGTGCATGTTTATATCTAGAGGCCAGCTGCTCAGGGTGTTCAACCGTTGGCGATGGACGCTAGAGATTTAATGAGCCATCTATGACAAAATTCTTGACAGAAGATTGTAAACAAGATGTAATTTTGCTAACTATTATTGATTTATGTTTTACTACAGATCATTTTTTCTCTATTTGTTTTTGGTATAGTTATACTGGTTCACACACAGATCATTGGTGGTGTGATGCAGCTGGATACGATCGGCAAGAACAATTGGCCTATTCGCGCCTATCATTTCCATAAATCGCAGCCATTGTTCGTGTCTGGAGGTATCGAATTAAGGATCTTTATACATAATTTCTATTTGGTAAAAAGGTGGAGCTCTTGAGAACATCATACTTATATCTAGAATGAATTTTTTGTAACTAAGTTTTTTTTCCCCAGATTTTTTGTTTTTATTGTTTTTGGTTTGCAGTGATTTCGTGGGTTTGGTTTCTTTGTTGAATTGAATTTTCTATAACATAAGGGCTTCTTCGGGTTGGCTTGTCGGCCTTTTATGTTGATGTACCATCATTAGTGGCATATTCATCGTTAAAACTATCTCTTGGATATTTTTTTATAAACATGACCAAGATGAAAACATCCAATGCTACATAATTAGGAGATACACACGTCAGTTTATAGATACATTGAGGATTTTTTTTTTTTTTTTTGTCACTACTCATGGATTTGTGCATGCTCTTCCTTGTGTTTATGATCGACCAATTTGATTGGGAATTAGCCATCGACCATACAATCTTTATTTTTGTTCTTTGTTTTTGAAGCTATATTTAAACCACTTAGGAAATCCTATTGACTTGCTTGCATACCCACATTTTAAAAAAAAATACCCTGGTACTTCCACGGTTGAACTTCAATATTTTTGTGAAAATTGTTAAAATGCAGGAATTGTTTTGATGGAATCCATGTTCTTACACTGGACAGGCTGAACATTTTTCAATTGGACTCAGTAATGCCCCGGGAGCGCGAACATAACCAGTTTAATTTCTGTAGCATACAGATCCCCAATTACCCAGGTAGGCTCATGTCTTAGAAATGCTGCATTTTAATCTCCTTTGTTGCAGTGACAGAGGTGAACAATGTGGTGCATGCTTGAAGCCTAATCAGATCTTTGCTGTTCATATAGGCCTCCGGTAATCGTTGTGGTTGTTATGGGTGATCGTCTTCATCATTTTTTCAAACTCACGACTACAATGTAAATTTTAGACACGAACACAACAATTAGTAAACAATGCACATCAATTAAACCCAGATTTTTGTTTTTTTGGGCAGGTGAAAGGTTCAAAATCAGGGCATATAAACTAATGCTCGTGGTTTGCCTTTTATTTAACAACTAATCCAAAATCATTAGTATATTGTACCACTAATATTCAACGGTGAGGTGCTTAAGTAGTTTATTCGTAGTTTACACTTACCTCGAATAATCTCTTATTTAATCTAATTAAAGACATATCATTTATGTTGAAACTAATATATTCATGATAGATAAATTTTTTATGATATGATTTTGAAAAATTGGCAAATACCATCAATACCAAGATGGTCTTTGTTCCTGTCTAGTTCAATTAGTTTACTAAAAAATTCAAACTTGCAGATTTTAATTTTATAATTAATTATTTTAATTTTAAATTAATTATTTTGACATTGATTATTAGATTCTAACTTTTCAAAATTATTATTGAGAATTGAGATCATTTCCAACATGATGCAGATTCAATAGGTAATTATGAAAATTGAATAAGAACCTAAACTAATTAAATTAAAAATTGACTTAAAACTCAATTAGTCACAATCTAACCAAACTTTAAATGTGAGTTGGAGACAAAAAAAAGAAACGGCAAAGCGACGGATAAAATAATGGGTTAATTGCAAATTAGACACGAAAGATTATTTGAACCTCAATTCGTATTTTTAAAGATAAAAAATTTTAATTTATACTCTCAAAGATAGAAATTTGTATCAATGTTTATTCCAAAGATCAAAATTTTTAATTTACACCTTTAAAGATAAAAATTTGTATCAATGTGCATATAAAATTAATTGTTGTTAATTTGCTGTTTAAAATTAAATTGATAAATTATATCTAGATTTTCTCATGTTTGTCATTTAATCATTTAAACTCTTTCACAAAATAAAGGGTAATATAAAATTATAATTTTTTATTAAGACAAAATTATATTTTTTAATAGTTATAAAATCTTAATAAAAATACTCTCAATTTAAAATGTCTCTCTAATTTAGCATTTAAATAATTATGTTTAAGTGATATATTGCATTACATATAAAAAAAAATATTATATAAATACCTACATTCTATTGGATATTCAAATAATAAGCTTGATTTTGAACTTTATAGTATATCGGACCCACAAAATAAAGGGTAATATGAAGTTAAAATTTTTTGTTAGGATAAAATCATATTTTTTAATTCTTATATTAATAAATATCAACGAAACGTCATGAGATGTAGGAGTAATATTCTAAATATGAAGGAGTTTAAATAATTAAGTGATAAACATAAAGGAATTTAAGTATAATTTATCAATTTAATTTTAGATAGAAAATTGACGGCGGTTAGTTTTAGGTGTACATTGATACAAATTTTTATTTTTAAAGGTATAAATTAAGATTTTTGATTTTTAGGGGTGCACATTAATATAAATTTCTATTTTTTAGGGTATAAATTAAATTTTTTAATTTTTGAGGGAATAAATTGAGCTCTTTTAAGATATAATTTGCAATTAACCCTAAAATAATTATAAAATGGTGAAAACTACTACCGACAACGTGACATCATTGCGGGAAGAAGACGACAACCCATCAGAGTTGCGTTGGAGGGGGCCACCCCCTACTACCCCCCTCATCTTCCAAGTAAAACCCTACCAGACCCACACTCACGCTCACAACAACCGTATTCTCTTCTCACCATCTTGTCTCTCTTTCTCGGTATTTGTTTGGTTTTGTTCCTTTAAAGTCATTGTCGTCTTGTTTCTTATGCATATATGTAAAATAGTAATTCGAGGAGAAAGACGAAGAAAATGGAGACTTCTCAAACATCCCACCCAGTGGATAATGCAGTTTCAGAGAATAATCCTCCTCAGGTTCTCTCTCTCCTCTTTCTCACTTACACGCGCGAGCATATGTGCTCTGTGTCTACAAAATGGTGTTAATGTTCTGCTTCGGGTGGTAAATGTCTTGAATTGCTCTTTATGCTCCATTTTATGCTGAAGGGTATACAGATGCATGACTGACGTTTTGTTATTTTTTCTACTTCATTTTTGAATGGGTTTCATTGTTTGATGGCTTCTGCGTTTATTTTTCAGCCCAATTTACCTGGGATCGGGCTGTTTAGGGACTTAATTATGCATGATCTTGAGTTGGTTATCAATTAATCACCGTTTTTTCTTTTTACCAACAACTAATTCTACTGTAGAGAGAGAGAGAGAGTTCTATGTTGGTTAGTACAGTACGAGGTAATTCTTTCTTTGTAATTTATAAATATGATAGTTATCCAGAGAGAAAATAGTGAGAAGATATAAATCTGATGTTTATTGCTTTCCAAAATATGTCTTTAGTTGAGGATTGTTAATTTAACTGTGAAATGTATTTAAACTGGCTTGATCTGCAGTAAAGTATGACTTATGGAAGCATGTTAAGAAAGAAGCCTAATATCCCAAGACTGGTGGTTTATTCTAATAGTAATCTGTTGTGTTCTTAGTATAAGGATATGGGGTATTTGTATCTCACTAGTTCATTGAGTAGGATCATTTCACATTGATCTGGTGAAGTTTGTCTAGTCCTTTAATATTCCGGGTTTCACATTTTTCTAAGGAGTTAAAAGGATTGATTGATGGCAATTGTTTGTTACATGCAGGCTGGTTCCCAAAACAGGGTGGCCATAGATAATGTCATGAATTCAAGAACAACGGTCCGGCACTCAGATCTCTCCCTCCAAATTCCTCCTACACCCTTAGGTTTTGGTGGTAGCCGCAGTGGTAAGGGGATAATCCAGTCTCCAGGTATCTTGAATGGAAATTCATCATCCGGAGGCTTATTTCGTGGTTTGAGCTTCAAGAAGAAAGCTGCTGCATCTGATGGTGAAAGAAGCTCTCTTCTTCTCAATCCAGACCCTAAAACAGCTCTTGAAAGTCCTGTTTTGGCCA